CACAAAGTACCAACATAGCAATTAAAACTGAATACCGAAGTATTAGTTTAGAAAACAACAACTCATACATTAAAAAAAGCAAATAACATGTGTGCCATAGGTTTGCAACCACTGGAGGTGAACCTGGAGAGCATAATATTGACATTTCCAAGAAATACAAACAGAACTACTATACCACATGCTATCACTCACATGCATAATTTAACAAATGTTTATTCCTTAGAAACACAGAGGGATAGTAGTTTGCAGAGGCAAGGGTGATCACGAGGTTGATACTTGGGAACTGTTGGTCAGAGGATATAAAATTCCAGCCAGGTATGAGGAATATGTGCAGAGATCTATTGTGCAGTAAATGATGATTCATCTTATTCTTGAAAACTTCTGAGTGGATATAAGGTGTTTCATCACAAAAATGATACTGATATGAGGTAATGTACTCATTAATAGTCTATATTTAAACATGTGCAATTCATAATGCTTCTAAACATATATTACTCACAATAAATACATATAATTTTATGTCAATTTAAAAAATAAATGAATGTGAAAATACAGCCATTATGCAAAACAGTGTGAAGGTACAGCAAAAAAATAAAATTCAATTAATATATAAACTAGCAAGCATGTGATTCAATGTTGAAATGATATCTACACTGCAATATTTGCTCTATCACTATTGACAACAGGCAAAATTTGAAATCAATTTAAGTGTCCCTCGAGAGATGAATGTATATAGAAAGCGTGGTATGTATCCCTGAGTCTATATATAAGAAGGAAATACTCTCATTTACTATGTGGATGAACCTGCAGGACATTATATTAGATAAAATCAGCTAGACATGAAAACATAAGTACTTCAGGACTTCACGCACACATGGAATATTAAAAATGATTGCAAAGAAATGAAGAACAGATTGGTAACTAGAAAATGGTAGATCGTTTTGGGGAGTGGTTGGAGAAATACTAGTCAAAGGATACAAAATTTTATTCAGATAGGTTGAAGAAGTTTAAGAGAAGTGTCTTTTGGGCCGGTGATTTAACTCAGTGGTTCTGCCACCTGCCTTGCAAGTGAAAGGTTCTGAGTTTGATCCCCAGTACAAAAACAAAACAAACCAAACAAACAAACAACAAAAAACAAAGAGAATTGTTTGATAGCTTGTTGAATATGATGATAGTCAATTATGATATATTGTATTCTTGAAAGATTCTGGGCAGCTGTAAAGAGTTCTCACCTAAAAAAAACCCCTATAAAATACAATATCTACATCAATATCTATATATTTACAATTTTAACTACAGATTGGAAAATGTATATATGAAAAATTAAAAATAAATTTTAAAAGAAAGGGTTACTTCTCACCTAAATAAAACTGTAGGATACAATATCTATCTATATCTATATCACAATTTGAACTGTAATTTGAAAAATGTATATATGAAAAATTAAAAATAAATTTTAAAAGAAAGGGTTACTTTGCTTCCATAACATTTTAGAGATGAAAAGATAAATAAAATCTATAAAGATTCCCAAGGGAGCCAAATCACAGGGAAATGAGGCTTGAGATATTTTTCCTGTAGAAATTAAACTTTCCTTAGGGATACCATGTGACTTTTAGATCAAAGGAAAGAAAAAAAAAAAAGCTTTTCCTTTGAGGGAATGAATTCATCTCCCTTTACCTTCATTTACAATGAAACTAAGTTTACTGAAAATTTCCATCCTGTTACATTCTTTCTACCTCGAGGGACTGCAATCATTTGGAGAGCAGAAATGAGGAGCTCTGAGAATTCAACCCTTGCCATGGTGGAAAATTTAAACGCATCCCAGTTGCTGATTGCCTGTAATCCTATGACTCATTCTCCAAGGGAATACAAGTGGGCTTCCTGGGGACAGATTGTGAGAAGAAAAAGCTTTGGTGGCAGCCATGTGAGTGACTTGCTTTGTCCCAGGGAGGAAAGGTGGACAAAAGAGGAAGCAGTATAGTTGGAGGTTTTTCACTGTAGAATTAGAATGAGAAGTAGTCTATAAAGGTGGGGTTCCTGTACAGTATTTTGAAGAAACTCACATTCATTGAGATATCTCTTATTTAGCCATTCTTCTGTTTCCTTCATTCTCCTGAAACTATAACCTATTTCTAATAATATTAACTTGTCAAGAGTCTCTACCTCATCTTTCCCGTAAATTGCAATGCAATTAGATCTTCTGAATTCAATTTCTCATTGTTTCACTTCTTGAAGTTCAATTAAGTATGAGGTATTGTTTGATTATTTGTATACTTGATTGGATTTTCCTATCATATCTCCCAAGTTTTCTTGAAGATTTTATTTAATGCAAGCTCTTGTAAATTCTATGTTGTTGTTACCATTTTACCTTAGAATCCACAGTATATGTAACATTGTCATTATTTCTAGTGTTCAATAAATTGTCTAATCTCTTTTTTTTCATTTTACCAAACTCTTTAAATGCTCAGGAAAATAAAGTACATAAGGTTTCAGGAGAATTTTTTTGCTATGTTTGTGAATTAGACACAAATATTCTCATGTTAAATGATTTGAAAAATATCTAGTCTTCATTGGATTATGAATATGTCTTTTGTTTTCTTCATTTACAGAGAGACTCTATTGTAGCCATTAACTACAGTCATGCAGATTGAACTTTTTTAGACTTTAATAATATAGTTATTATTTATCATCATTGACTGATTTCTGTGATTAATTAATTTTAAAACATCCTTATGTTAAACTGGCTTTAATTTCTATAATCGGCATTAATTTTCCATATATTTTTCTCTTTGTGTTACTAGAAATGCAAACAAAGACATTCCAGACAAGCATTTTATGATTAGTCCACACTCCAGCTGTTAAACACACATGAAACCATTTCATTTAAATTTATTACTTTGTTTTTTCATCTGCAGTAAAGAGTGTGAAAAGCTAAAATATTGTTCATGACATACTTATCATTTTGTCTTTGGTCTTTTGCTGTCTCCAATAACTTCCATGCTGTAGACAGTTATAATATTGATAGTGTTCTATCATGGTGATTATAAATATTTATTTTTAATGCTTACATTTGCTTTTAATATTTATAGATTCTTTGATATATGCACCTAGAATGTTCTCAATCAATCCATCAAACATATATTTTTATCAAAGAACTCTTCTGATTTTAATAATACAGCCCCACTCAAAAGCATGCACATATGACAGCATACTCTTGCACATGTCTTATATATGACTTTAATGTTGTTGTATTTTGTCCCTCCTATCTGTGTATTCCACATATCTGTTGCTCTTCTTGGAGGAATTCACCTCCCTGAAATAGGGCACCTTAAGGATCTTCATAAATCAGAAATGCTAACGGATGGTCAAATGAGGTAACCTGTCTGTTATGCTTATAAGAATTAAGATACATTATGTCCATGTAGCAAATGCCCAGGATGAATGCAATCATGTACTGCAAATAAGTGATAATAAAATAAAATATATTGGACTAAATCAGAATTGCATTATTTATGTCCACCCAGTTTAAAGAGGCATTGATAAACAGTAGCCATGCAAGATAGGTTTATTTTTGTGTGAAGAACAGAAATTCATATTTTGAAATGGCTTTTACATGTTATGGGAACCAATAGAAAATTGTTCTGAGTCATACTATTTAATTTTACTCTTTAATCTACCATTTTAGTAAATACTACCTGTAATGTAAAGGTGAGACATTTGCAAGCAAATAAATTGAGTAGTTTTCTCAAGGCCACACAAATGATAAGTAGATGAACCAAATTTTATTTACATAAGTTTTATTTAATAACACAGTTTTAATTTTCCCTCCTTTCCCTTTCCCTCTCCTCTCCTTTGTACTCTTCCTATTTGAACATTTTCTTCCTATTTCCCAATATCGATCATCCATTTTTGTCCTTATTAATGGTTTTGGCTTCTAACATGAGAGAAACAATGCAATGCCTAAACATATGGGTCTGAATTATCTCAATTGCAAGTATGTGCTCAAGGTGCAGAAAGGTGGGGAGGGGAACTAAGATATATTATGTACAGGTACAATTCCCTGTGATGAATGTGATCAATATGCATGACAAATACATATTAATTAAAAATCAAATTAAAAATGAATACAATTTTTACAAGACAACTCAATACTCCACTTTGGGAGAATTATACATTCAAACTAATTATGATAGAGGAGAATTTCAATAATATTGATAAAAATGACATCAGTGGCAATAAACATTTATTGAAATCCTACTGTGTACATGGGCATTTTTAAATCTCACAAATCAGGTAGTAGCAGTATCCATATTTTTAGTGAGAAATGAAAGGTTCTGACAGTAAACTGCCACATCACAAAGAAGTGCCATCGCAGAGAAAAAGCTTGTTTGAAAATTCATGATTAAGGAGCCAGTCATATTAAAAAATATAGGGAAATCAAAAAAATATATGAACTGTGCTTGTTATTTTGATGAGTCATAACAGAGAAGAAATTAGTTATGACTACCAATTAAATAGTAAAGTAAGATCTAGTGAATCCATGACAAAACAGGGAGGTTTCTGCAGAATCAAAGAAAATACAATGGGTGAGACAGCACATGCCTATACCCCAACTACAGGGGGGCTAAGCCAGGAAGACATTAATATCAAGGCCACCTTGGGCAAGTGAATCAGAAACTATTTCAAAACTGAAAAACTAAAAGTAATAAAGGCTGGAGAAATAGTTCAGTAGTAGAGCACTTGCTTACTAAACACAAAGTCCTGGATTCAATCCCCAGGACTTCAGAAAATTAAAGTAAAGAAAACATGAATAAGAATAAAAAGTTAAAACAGACAATGGGAACCACTTGGCTCAGTGAGTCAGGCACTGGCAGGACTCGAGACAAGATGAAGGGGATCCATTCAAGGGTGATGCAGAACAGGGATAAATACCCCAGGTGCCAGTTTACTGTTCTTTGAACAGTGCTTTTGTTTTCTACTCTACCAGTTACACCAGCCACATGAAAAGAGACAACAACTCACGTATGGCACAGTTCCTCCTCCTGGGCCTTTCAGGTTATCCTGAACTGCAACCTGCCCTCTTTGCACTCTTCTTGTCCATGTACCTCGCCACGGTGTTCGGAAACCTGCTCATCATCCTGGCTGTCATCTCTGACTCCCACCTCCACACCCCCATGTACTTCTTCCTCTCCAATCTGTCTTTTGTGGACATTTGTTTCACTTCCACTATTGTCCCAAAGATGCTGGTGAACATCCAGACACAGCATAAAGACATCTCCTACAGGGAGTGCCTCACTCAGGTGTATTTTTTTATGATTTTTGCTGGAATGGATAATTTTCTACTGACCATCATGGCCTATGACCGTTTTGTGGCCATCTGTCATCCCCTGAACTACATAAGCATCATGAACCCCCAGCTCTGTGGTCTCCTGGTCCTGATATCTTGGATCATAATCTTCTGGGATGCCCTGCTCCACCTTCTACTGATTATACGTCTGACCTTTACCAGAGGTACTCAAATCCCACATTTCTTCTGCGATCTGCCTCCACTCCTCCAAGTGGCCAGCTCTGATACCCGAATCAATAATGCTGTCTTGTACATGACAACTGCCTTCCTGGGTGTGTTTCCTGTCACTGGGATTCTCTTTTCTTACTCTCAGATTGTCTCCTCTTTAATGAAGATGTCCTGTTCTGCAAGCAAGTCGAAGGCATTTTCCACCTGTGCATCTCACCTGTGTATGGTCTTCCTGTACTATGGGACCGGCCTTGTGGAATACCTTAGTTTTACATTCCCCCATTCTTCTCAGGCAAGCATGATCACCTCCGTGATGTACACTGTGGTGACCCCGATGCTGAACCCCTTCATCTACAGCCTGCGGAACAAGGATGTGAAGGGGGCCCTGGGAAGATTCCTAAGCAGAACAGCCTCTTGTCCTTAATAGACCTATGACTTTAAAACTGAAGGGAATTGTATATGTCTCTAAGACAAATATTTGGAATTATAATAATCTGGTTCTTTGTCTTCTCCAAAACCTATGTAACATTTTTCTATTTGTATTTTTGCATACTTGGAAATGACATTTATGTATATATGGTTTGCATTTGTTTCTCCTTGACAGCTCTCTCATTAGTTTTATTATTTCTTCCATGAGTTCAATCCTCAGTACCAAAAAGCATTATTTCTTCCTTTCGTGTGTCTCCTAACATTTTGTCCTTGACCTGTTTGTTTACAGGCATTTGTGATGTTTCTAATTTCATACTTAATGTACCTAACGTATTCTATGTTGACATGATGTTCTCAAATATTATATCCTTATTAATTTTAAATATTCTCACCAAAATTAAATTATAAATATTTAGGTTTTATATATATATGTTAATTAATCTGATTTGATCATTGAAAAATATATGTGTATCAAAATATCACATTATACTCAATGACTATATGGAATTACAATGTAAAAATTATACTCTTTAATGTTAATGTTCTTCACCTTGATTTTATTTTGTTCTTGTGTTACTTGGAAGAAGTGCAATGAAAATAACTCAATAATTGAGTCAAATCATTTACCATATGAGGTTTGTGCTTATTGATTATAGATGTATTGCTTTATTTAATCCTGAAAACCTCTCTTTGAAATATTTGCTATAATTCACCTAATTTCTCAAAAGAGGAAACCAAAATTAAGATGGATTAGTACACTACTAACTGAACTGACACAGAGCACACCTTTTAAGGATTGGTATACTACATTTTGTAAAAACAGTGATTGGATTTTCAATATGAAAATGACTTTTTGAAGGGAGTTTGCTTATTTTATGAATAGTGATATCATTTCTAGAGAAACTCTGAGATCTTTTTTCTTTACTTTCTTCATTCAACCCCATCTCTTCTTCCTCCTTTTTTATTCCTTTACTCTTCCATATTTCTTCCACTTTTCTTTCTTCTTTTTCCTTTCTTTTCTTCCTTCCTTTCTTGCATTTCTCATTTTCTCCTTCCTTATTTTTCACTCTATTTTCTTTTATGGCTGAATAATATTCTACTACACCTGTACACACACTGTATGTGTTTTCATGCATTGATGGTAATTCACATATTTCCAATATTTTAGCCATTGTAAATAGTGCTTCTATGGAT